GGAAAGGCCGTACCAAATTATCGAGATCACCGAAAAAGGATCCTACAAACTCGGAACAATGAGCGGCGAGCAACTACCGAACAACTGGAATATAACTCACTTCAAGCGATATTACTGCTAAGGTACATCCCCATTCTTTCGTTTGTTTACATTATAAACTAACGCTTGTAGGTAGCCAACAAGGGACAATACGAGATTTTAGGTCTGAAAGCACGCGTTGCACTCTTTTTCCCTTGAACCGGTTTTATCCCAAGTGGGTTTTACGGTAAGGTTTTGAACGATGAAACCAGTAAATCATGCTAACTTAGAATTGATGGCCAGCTATGAACCGGTGACGATGATCACAACAACATTTGAGGCCTCTCTTCTATCAACCCCGAACACTAGGGGTATTACCCTCAGATATCGACTTTAGAATGGAAAGAGACTTCAGGATTGAAGGATCATATTGATCGGGGAGATTCATTGTAAGAGCCAAACAATCAAATGAACTGTGCCCATATAGACTGCTCGAACCCTGGCACAAAGCATGTACACATGTATAACTATTATGCACAAGAATAAAAAGAAGTCCTTTCCTTGCAAACATCTTGTCCTTTAAAATTTTTTGTTGCACTTCTTAAGGAATTTCCTACATCCGATCCCCTAAAGGTATCGATCCCAAGGGCCGACTTAACCCGAGTTCGAAAAATCACTCTCTCACTCGGGGACTGCCGTTCGAAAACAAACTCGTAAGGTCCAAGCTATTATACCTCGGGGGCATAAGACCTATTAGGCAAGGCCCGAATTTCAAAGGCCATGGCCGCCCCCACTCGAGGATTGTTATCTTAGGAAAGCCCGGATAGCAATCCCACTGGGCGACACCTGAATTAAAAAGGCTACGACCATATTAACATGGTTCGGAGACGTCCGAGACCTATAACAAAAAAAAACAAGGCCTTCAAAAAATTTTATAACCAGTTCTAAAGGCTACCCTCGGCAAACTATAATCTAAACTACTTTGAAAAAAAAGTTTCCGGTGACACCGAATCCCCACTATGTCTTAAAACAGAATAATGTTAAAGGCAAGATTTGTTTGAACATTCGAACATAACCTAATTATTTCATGCTAAGGCATTTCGATCTTTGCGAATAGAAATAATAAAGCAAAGGGAAAAATACAAAAGTTGTGAAAGGAAAAAAACCCTTATATATTTATATCAAAAAATTCTTTTTACAAGGGCCAAATAGCCCCAATACAAAATTTTACAAAGGTCCAACGACCTCGAAAAGCAAAGACAAAAACATCTGAAAGGATCCTAAGTGGCATAGTCTTCGCCGGGGGCCGTATCATCACCTTCGGGGTCTACACTGCCTTCGGACTCACCCAAATCTTCAAACCTATCGGAATCTTCCTCCTCGGGATAAAACAACTTCCTGGCCTCGGCTTCGAACACCTTGGTACTCTCGATTTCAGCCAATAAGTCAAAACCCTGAGCATGAACTCCCTCGAGGGCCTCCCTTCGAGATTGTCACTTAGTATGCTCCATTATATTTCTCACTTGGTCCTGAGCCGCCTCGGCATCAGCCTTGTGCTGGGCCACCCTCTCAGTAGCCTCGGCCTTGACCACGGCGACCTTTGACTTGGCCATCTCAAGCTCTTTGGCCAGATTTTCTTGACCCAAGACTAACGAGCTCAGCTGAGACTGGAGCTCCTCTATCTTTTTATCCTGTACCAAGGCCTTTTTCTTTATAGCCCGGAGCTGGACCTCAACCAAAGCCAATTGTGCCCGGCAGTCTCCTTTTCCGAGGCTAGGCAATCCATGTTTCTTTTCCATTCTTCAGCCTCAGCCACTGTGTTTGACTCACTGTCACTAACTTCAAAAACTCTTCTTACCTGCTCGACCAGGTCGGCATGCTCCTTCCGAACCACTCCTAGCTCAGCCTGGAGTTTCTCACTGAGAAGCTTGTAAGTATCCCTCTTTTCCGTAAGATCCCAAGTCTCGGCCTCGTAATGGTTTAACTCCTCCCGATATCGGAGAAAAGTCTCGTGATGAAGCACTGAGGCCTTCAATTTCAAAGAAACAGGTAGGGCGCCAAGGCACTGGCCTCCTATTGATGAAGCATTGAGGCACCGGCCTCCTGTTGTGCTTTGTTAAACAGGTAAGGCGCTTCCACCTCATCTATCTTGGCTTGATCCTCTTCGATCACTAGGCACTGAAGATAACTGGCAACCCCCACGGGGGTGGAGATAACCCGGGCATCCTCCGGTATAGACATAATGATTGACCACTTTTGGTCAGGATCTGCACTCGGAGTTAGGAACAGATTTACTAATTTTGGACTTGAAGAAAGCCCAATGGCTCCCGAGGATGGTATCTTTTTTGGCACCGGTAAGTCACCCAAAACGGTGATGTCCTCCGAGGTAGTAGAATCTACACCATCAAAGAAATTGTTAAAAGAGTCTGCCGCCCCTTGGGGCCCCTCATTTGGGCGTCCTTTCAGCATCCGGGGCTCGTTGATCATTGAATCAGTAAATGAAGGCGGCTCGGAGAGGTCTATCACCCCAAGTGCATCCTTCGGGGCGTTATCCTCTACCCGAGAAGCACCGGCCATGGTCTCTTTGTTGACTTCCCCAGCTCGAGGCAAAATGGCCTCGCCTCTCTCTTGCTCGGAGGCTTCAGCCACTAACCCTTCATTAGCTACCCTGGTTTGAGGCAGTTCGATGTCGTTTTTCATGCGGGTCATCAATTCAGAAGCTTCTTCTTCTTCTTCTTCTTTTTCGGACTCGTCCCTCAGTCGATTTAGTGAGTCCGATGGGATTTCTTGGGCGCTGGTGCTTTCTTTGGATTTACGCACCAGCCTTCTTTTGGTTTTTTCTTCTCTATGTTCGGAGAACTCGGAGCCATTTTCCTCTTCTTTTCCTCACCCTGTCTCGGAGCAGAGGACTCGGAGGGACACTCCTTGCCACAAGATGGAGGCCTCATTGCAACATCCTTGGGAAGACCTGCAAAGAAAAGGAAAATGAGTAGGGGCTCAGCAACATGGGCAAAACCTAAGTGTTGTCTGCACGAGAATGGAATCTCACAGTGAGAACGGGCCTCCCATCGACCCTTCGAAAGTTCGTGCCATGCGTGCTCGAAATATGGTTTCTGCGACACGATGCCCTCGACCCACTCCTTGAGTCGAGGAACTGTATCCGGCATCCGAGCAACAACTGCACTACCACAAAACATCGACGAGAAGGGAGGAAAAGTAAAAGGGATAAACTAAATTTTAAAGGCAAGATTATACTTACGTTTAATGTTCCACTTCTCAAGAAATGGCATATCCTCGGCTGAGATTAAATCCGAGGTCTTCACTCGAACAAATCAGCCTAACTAGACTTGGTCCCGATCCTCGTCGATGCTCGAGAATGGGGCCTTACTGGCCCGACGGGCAATTTTTATTAATCCCCCTCGATAGAGTCGGGGACTGTATAGACACATGAGATGATCAATGGTAAAGGGACACCCCTTGATTTTGTTTACGAAGAAGCGGAGGAGAATTACTATCCTCCAAAAAGAAGGATGAATTTGACTGAGGGTCACCCCATACTTCTTACAGAAGGCGATGATGACCGTATCCAAAGGGCCTAACGTGAACGGATAAGTGTAAACACTTTAAAAACCCTTCATATGGGTAGTAATTGCTTCCTCGGGCGTAGGAACTGCCACGTGCTTATCAACCCAGCTGCAATAATTCTTGACCTTGGAGAGGAAGCTATCGGTGACCGAACATATATATCTCGAGACCGGTTCACACCGACCCAGTACTGAGGAGGTTTTCTCGACCTTGAAATCAGCACCTGTCGGGCACCCCGTAGGAACGAACATCTTTAGGGGAGGCTCTGGTGTCGGTTCCTCAGTAACAACAGACAAAACATTTTCCTCTTCAGCCGGTCACGAGGCAGAGGGAGTTTCTTTTTGGGGAACGGATTTTGAGGTCTTCGCCATTTTGAAAGATGAAGGAAAAAGAGGAAGTTAAAAGAGAATGCTTGATGGTTTGAGGTAAATGAAAAACAGAAGTTCTTATAAAAGGATTTTAGAGTAACCAGAAAATTGATGCTTGGGAGTGTTGAAATTTCTAAGGTATGAGGGCAGAAAGTTTGAAAGTAAAGTTTGAATGAACTAATGAGGAGATATTTATAGTCTTTCAATGACTGTTCACATCTGAGAGTGGCCGACTGACAACTGACAGACATTTAATGCCGTTAAGACTTGACTGACGAGACGTTTTGACTGTTTTGTCGTTTCTGTCACAAAACATCGAAGTCAGGATCGGAAGTTCATGTCATTTCTCATCGTCTACTCTTCGAAAAATGAGGGGACTATCTGTATACGGCCGAAGTTGAGCTCGATTACAAGTTGGTGGATTAGGCTTGGAACGTGGCAACAAAGAACTGAAGATCGACCTCGAGTCCCGTCGAGCTAGAACCCAAGATCGGAAAGCCTGCCTTCGAGGAACATTAAGTCCGGTATCGACCTTAGCCTCAAACAAGCTTGGAGATAACTAACAGAAAACTGAAATATCTGCGACCGGTGGGATATTATGGCAAGAATCTCAGCACGTATCAGCATGGAACCGTCAATCAACAAATCAAGAGATTTTTACCTTTTACAAGAATATACCTAGAGTAGGACTCCTCTACTATATAAAGGGGGTCTGATAATTCATTCAACACATTGTAATACGCATCACAAAGCAATATATTATTATTTCTAGTTCTCATTATCTTGTCATTCTGTTCCGGCATCGATAAAAGCACTTCTGACTCGAGGGTAACTAATCTTCAAGGCTAAGATCGTTCAACTTGTGTGGTTTGCATTTACTTCCTCATAATTTATTTCAATATTAATCTGATTTCTCATTTTGTATCAAGTTAGATCACCTATCCTTAAAACCACGTACAAATTCAATTGTTATCCGATTTTGAGGGTAAACAAACCCACTGGCCGATTCTCCGACGGCCGTCTAGTTATATGTCTCTTAAGCTTCCACTTATCAACCCTTACATGGTCAAAGAAGCTAATTTTAGACATGGAGTAAACTGCGCAGTAGGAGGAGCTACAGTTCTAAATGATCCTTTTAATGTAACTAGAAATATTACCACGGCAAAAGACAACAGGCCACTTAGATCTCAACTTCGTTGGTTGACAACCTACTTACAAACCACATGCCACACTAGACAAAAGTGTTCAAAAGTTCTTGGAAAATCTCTTTTTATGTTTGGTGCATTTGAAGGAAATGATTATTACCTAGCACTTTCAGAGGGAAAATCCATTGAATTAGAAGCTAAAACTTTTGTCCCACATATAGTCAAGGCCATTGTAAAAGGCATTAGACAAGTGATCAGATACGGGGCAAAACGTATAGTTGTTCCAGGGATTTATCCTCTGGGTTGCTTCCCCTACTACCTTACCATGTTCTCAAGCTTGGATTATGAAGATTATGATGAGTTTGGTTGTTTGAAAGCCTACAATGAGTTAGTCATGTATCACAATGATTTTTTGGAGAGGGCTCTATCTATACTAAAACTTGAATATTCGAACGTTGCGATTAAATATATAGATTATTATGCTGCTGTGAAATCAATTCTGGAACGCCCCAGCTATTTTGGATTCAATAAGAAATCCATACTCAAAGCGTGCTGTGGAATTGGAGGTCAATATAATTATGACGATGATATTCTTTGTGGAACATCTGAAGTTCAAGCTTGTTCTGATTCTGCAAAATATTTGCACTGGGATGGTATACATCTTACAGAAAAAGCATATTATTATGTGGCAGAGCGCGTCATCAATGGCATCTCATCTAAAGAATTTCAATGTCTGCAGTAGATTTTGATCTCTGGAATTTAATGAAATTAAAAGGTTGTAGCATCACCTGGATATAGATTGTAAGTGGTGTTTTATATATGGTGAGAAGTGCTTTTATATACTATATAACTGGTTTTTATTTTTGTTGTAAACAGTTAAATTAAGCAAAGATATAAAAGGTAAAAAAAATCAGCACGTTTCATTCATTCAGAAACTACCTAGCTAATGTTTACATTCTCATTTGGCTTATTGTCATGAATTCTTGTAGGCATTACCAAACACAAAAATAGATTTTCCAAAACAAAAAATCTGACTTATGTCCTGTTATTGTTGAAAAAAAGTAAACTAGATGCATATCAAGTACAGAATTGCCTAGTCGATACATTAGAAAATTAACTAATATGCATGTATGATTTTATTATTGAACTAGGGAATAAGAAAAGTGTAGAATTAAATTATTATACATGTATTACATAGGTACATGTTTTTAGAATTTTATAAATACCTAGGTACTATAGCCTAAGGAAGTTAGAGTAAAGTAAAGAAGAATCACCACCTCATTTGTCTTCATGAGGACTTGAGAGATTGAGAGTCCTCTCATCCCTCTACAAATAATTTTCAAATATTTGGTGTAATGATCCGGCCGGTCATTTTATGTATTTGAGTACCGTTTTCCCTTTTGAAGCTTTTTGTATGTGTATTCGTTGTTATGTGACTTGCGGGGATGGTTGGATTGGTTTTTGGGAGGTTTTCGTTGATTTGGAACACTTGGTTCCTAGTTTGGAAACTTAAGTTGGAAGTGTTGACCAAGTTTGACTTTTTATGAAAACGACCCCGAAATGATATTTTGATGGTTCCAATAGGTTCGTATGGTAATGTTGGACTTGGACGTATGCCCGAATTTGAATTTGGAGGTTTCTAGGACGGATTGACTCTTTTTGTCGAAAGTTAGCAATTTAAAGGTTTAGAAATTTCATAAGTTTGACCATGATTTGACTTTGTGGCTATTGGGGTCAGAATTTAATTTGGGACTTGGAATATGTCGGTTTTATCATTTGGGATATGTGTGCAACGCTTGGTATCATTCCGAGTTGGTTTGATAGGAATCAGACGTTTGGTGGTGATTTAGAAGATCTTGAGTTTCATAGTTTGCAAGATGCGTTTTGGTATTTGATTCGTGGTTTTATATGTTATTTTGGTGTTTCGAACTTGTGAACGAGTACGTATGATATTTCTACACTTGTGTGGATGTTTGGGGTAGAGCCCCGGGTGCTCGGGTGAGATTCAGACGTGTTTCAGAGTGTTTTGAGTTGAGTTCAGATTTTTGCTGGTGCTGCAAGTCTCGTAAATGCGAAGTCCAGTTCGAATTTTCAAGCTGTCAACCGCAATTGCGAAGGTGGGCAGGGGCTACAGGAATTGCCTCTGCGAAGCCTGTCTCGCAACTGCGATGGGGGAACTAGGCATGGTTGGTCACATTGGCGATCTTTTGGTCGCTTTTGCGATGTTTGTTGGTTTTGCATTTGCGAAGTATTGGTCACATTTGCAACATTCTCTGGGCTGGACAGACTTCGCATTTGTGATCCATGAGTCGCATTTGCGGAGGTTGCCTTTGCGAACCTCTAGTTAAAAATGCGACATCTGCAGCTGGGTTATTAGATGGAATTTCGGGAGTTAGTCTCATTTTATCATATTTTGAGCCCTACAATTGGTGGGAGGCAATGTTTTTGAGATTTTCACACGTAGCTATTAGGTAAGTGATTTTTACTCAATTTTGATATTATAACTTTATTTCTTATGGATTTTAACATTAAAATCATAAAATTTGAACGGAAGTTTTGGAGATTTTTGACAAAGTTTTGAAAAATAAAAATTTGAGATTTGAGAGTCGATTTGGACTCAGTTTTAAAAACCAATCACATATTTGAACTCATGGGGTTATGGGTAGTCGAGATCTAACCAACAAATCGCGTTTTAATCGGGCGAGCTCGTGGTTGACTTTTTGGGGATTGGGTAAAGATTGAGCCTTTATTGCTTTGAATTATTTTCTTTAGCATTGTTTGATATTATTGAGTCATTTTTGGCAAGATTTGAGCCGAGCGGATGTGAATTTTAAAGAAAAAGTATTTTTAGAGTATTGAATTGGCTTGTTTGAGGTAAGTATCCTTCCTAACCTTGTATGGAGAAATATCCCTTAGGATTTGACCTTAGTTGCTTATTCGTGATATGTAAAAAATGATATGTACACGAGATGATGAGTGTGCACACGGGCGTATATATGGTTTAGACCGGATTAGACCCTTAGACTATTAATATGCCTTAATTTGGAGATGTATTCTATATGAAATATGCTTAAGCACTTTATGACTACATGATCATGATCACTACATTTGACTTTGCCATAGTCGTGCTTTATTGTTGAATACCTCTCCGCACTTTTACGCCATTATCATGTCTTTGTTTAGTTTATTGTTAAGTTTTGAGCTTATGTGAAATTTTGAGTAGTGTTGTTTTTGTGATATTGTGTCATATGTGGACATGTTGTGCGGATTGATTGATGTTGTGTAGAGTATAAGGGTGGCGAGATGCGCATGCGACAACATTAATGAGTTGCTAGTTGAATTAACATGCTATTATATGCCCCATTTCTTGACGATTTGTTGATTAAAAATGATTTTTTCTACATTTAGTTGTACCCATATGCTCTACGAGATGGTTGATATATTCTTCTTTACATATATTCAGTTACCAGTTATTAATATATTACACAAGTTATTTGACTAGTGAGTATCATGCCTTGAACCTCGTCACTACTCCACTGAGGTTAGTCTTGACACTTATTGGGTACTGATGACGTCCAAATCTACTCCTCAAAGAGTTAGCGGATACACAGGAAATTCGACTCAAGCAACGATTCAATGTATTTTACGATTTTATAAATATGTGCGAGTTTATGTTAATTAGACTCGGATATTAATTTTATATTATCTTCTTCCGAAGAATAATAATACTTCCTAATTCAATTATCCCTAAATCAATTAAGAGGTTATGTCCACCCGAATATGGCTACAAGTAGTTTCAATCCTATCCATATGTACAATCTACAAAATGAGGGTTAACGCCTCACGTTCTTGTTAATTAATCTTTCTCAATCTCAAATTACCTTTTTTAAGATTAATTCGAAGTTAATGGGTGAGTCCTAGGGTTAGATAATCCTTTTAGAAACTTTAAAGAACAAGAATAATAAAAGTAACAATAACTCACTTCATAATTAATAAAAATCATTCAAGAGATAAGCATAACAAGAGATTTAATTCAAACTTTAATAATGAATATTTTCATAAACAAGTTTCAAGTATTGGAATAAATACTACACACTTAAATATTCAATGTAAATCAAGGAATTGAAGAAAGGGGTAAAGGGGTAAGAAAATATCATCTAATGTATTCAAATCTTCAACTCCCAAACGTGTGCGCAGGAACCCTAACTCCAAGCTTGTATTTTCTAGTCAAGATGACCAAAGAACTGCCAAAGAAGTCTTCCAAATAAGTTGGGCCGAGTATTAAATGGTTTGGGAGGCAAAAATGTAAAATGCTTGTGCAGATTTTTTGCCCAGTTATGTGAATCGCGAAAGAGAACATGCAATCACAATCAACAACACATCAAAGAATAGCGGTCGGGTACTCAACCTCGCATTCGCACAACAGACCATGCATTCGCGATAGAGATCTTCTAGAAGGCCCGCGATCGCATCATTCAGTCTCGCGATCGCATAGAGCACTTTACCAGTTGTTGACCAGCTTTCCCTTTTCGCGTTCGCAACACTTCCACCGCGTTCACAATGACTATTCTCCTAGGTTCTCCGCGATCGTATAAAGAATCTTAGTGATCGCGAAGAGCATTAACTGGCAGCAGTCAATTTTTTCCATTTTAACACATTTGACTTATTTTCTTCCGTATCTTCTCTAAATCATATGATACCTGAAATATACCAATAAACCTCAACACATGCCTTAGGTTTTTAACTAAATCATACAAAAGTCTAAGTATCAAGAAGAGATAAGTTGGTAAAATACCAACTTACCAAACCCCCAAACTTAAACTACTGTTTGTCCTCAAGTAAGTCAACAACTAAGAACATCCTTCAATAGAATCAACAATTAAGCTCAATGGCATACAAAACATTATTTCAAGTCAACAAGGTTCAAATTAAATACAATCTAGTGACTTTAGTTGGTACCAACAACTAATTCAAATCATATGAATCACCAACAACTTCTCACAAATTTTATTTCAATTCAAGTGCTCAAATAACACGTTAATCAAAGTAGCAACCAAGTCATGACACTAGAGCTTCAAAATTTACCTCATTATCACAAACAAATTTCTTTTGTTACATTCCTCCCAATTGGAGATTGGATTAAATTCACAACTCAAATTTCGTGTGCCCTCAGACTTAAGAGTGAATCCCAACTTTTAAATTGCAATTTAAAACATAATTGGGATATCAAATGGAAAGAATTAACTCTCTCTCACACAAATATGTTCAACCGCATACAAGTAGTGTCATGGGCTTGCCTTTCATGTATTTCTCCACTAATACAGACAGACTTGGTTCAAAATCAATTAGGACTTAAATGGTTGTAATGTAGTGTTTTGGTATAGGTATGGTCCAATTTTGGATAAGAGTGACTCAAAACATCTCTAAGCACTACAATTTCCAATATAAAGCACACTTCCTTCAAAAACGTTTCCACCCTTTCTTCACTTTTCGTTTCACCACCTAGTCTTCCCTTTGTTCACAACTCCTTATTTTTTATTTCTTTTTTATCTTTCTTACCTTTTTCTTTTTTATAGTTTTGTTTTTAACTCTTCACCTTTTAAGAGACTTCCACATTACAACTTTTCCAACCGTTACCCACAAACTTAGATTTTTAGCCTATGTTTACACTTTCAAAGCACTTAGGGAGGTGGGATGCCAAAAGATAGATCAATAAAGAATAAAAAGTTAAATCTTGTAACA